AGCGAGAAATTGTTGTTTGTGTTGTTGTGTTGTGTCCCCAACAGAAACAAACCTGGGTGGTGGTCAAGCAAAGCCCATAGAGAACGGGCCCTCCGAATATGCGGCAGTTGTACACATCACCCCTATTCTTAGTCTTCTTCAACGTGTTGGAGGGAAAAACGTGCAGGGGCCTTTTTGGTATTTCACTCCACCAACTCTCTGACTTTGTACTTTCTTTTAAGGTTTGATGTCAAGTCCTCTAATTACGTCCTTAAAATATGGCGCTTGTTAACACATTGTCCATATCCCAAAACAAACTCGTCAACATACTGTGTCATAATTCTAAGCTAACTCATCTAAATGCATCGTAAATTATTGAAAATAAATGTTTATACTACACATTATTACATACTTGAAAGGTTTTTATTCGTTGTATTTTCTTCGCAGACAAGTTTATAAATTTAAGTATGTCGATTTTTGAATTTGGAGATTCAATTCACATTTTCAAAGACATTGAACCTAATTAAATTGGATTATATTGACAGTTTGGACAAATTGGATAAGATTTTGAACAACTCTATTGGACAAGTAACATATTTATAACAGTTTATGGACAAAATTGGGAGGTGACAAAGCAACTTTTTGAAAGATAGGGACAGCTTAGGTACAAGTCGGATAAGTTCAATATCTGATTTAATGACAAATTTATTAAAGTTAGTACTTAATGTTGTTGACATATAAGTTAAAATTGATTAATTTGGTTACTTTAACATAACCTAATACAGATCTTTTAATTACATAACACCATTTAACTAAGACCAATACCATTTTCCACCCTTGTAGTTTGACTTATTTTTCGCTTTAGTCGCACTTCCATCTATTTGCCATGGCAAAAGACAAGGGAAGACAAAGGCATTTACTGTTCACAGTATCTCTCATTCACTGGTTTTATTGTTCATTTGTTAATGTTGTTTGGATTGTTTTCTTCACAAATTAGGGAGGATTAGCTTAAATAAGTTATAAGACTTATAGTTTTTTCATTTTGCGTGATGTCAGAATAGTATTTCAATTTAAAAAAAAATAAATACATAAAGAATTTTGTGAATGCTCCTTAATCACTTATGTTACAAACCAATTTTAATTCAGTTGCTTACAAATAGTCGTCATCATCATCATTATAACATTATCTTTAGTGTCCATGCATGTGTGCCACTGCCAATGACGGATTTCCGCCACAGCTCGTGAAGGAGCTATGACCAAATTAGAGGCGCCAAGTCCACGCAACTTTTATAAAGAGAAATAATTGTTTGCACTGATTTTGGCAGCCAATAAGCCCATGCCACTACCAAATTCAAGGACCCTGATGAGCGGTTGAACAATATCGCAATGATGCAAGGTTCCTTTTTCTGCTACCATAAGCACCAGCCATTTTTGGAGAAATTTTGGGGTATGACCGTATATACAGACACATGATGGTCGATATGTAAACGACAAAACTGATATGTTATCACCCAAAATCAATGGGCATATAAAAGTCCAGGCCACATCATTCAAAAAGTGACCCTTTATTGGGTAGTAGTATATCACAGTTCAGAAGTACAAAATGGCCACTTACCAATATTTCCTTTTAGACAATCAACATTAAAAAGCAAAGAAAAAAACCAAAAACAAACATTGCCAAAATGGAATCTACAGTGTCAATCAAATGATACAGTGCCAATTTTCTGTACTGGGTTCAGAATGGACATTTTAAGAGATATTGGACTTTAGCTAAAATGGAAAATTAAAAGGTGGTTTATTTTATTCTCGTTTCCTTTTTCTTGGTTATTTTCATGGGGCACAAAGGTCTAAACCCTCACTAAACACCAATATGAAACCTTCCTAATGTCTTTTGCTGTCAACTTGCATACGTAAAAGCCCAATCACTTGAAATTCTTTTTTTTGAAGGCAAACGATAATTCATTCAAATAATAAAAAATAGTAGTGTCAGCATGTAACGAAGTGACCTCATTAAAACCTTTCCGAAGAAAACCACATGGGACAAAATTTCGGAGTAGGAAAGAGTACCACACATGCGAAGAAATTACAAGAAAATCAAGAAAAGGAATGCGGAGCAGGACAATCATCTTGAATGCAATCCATGACCCAAGGAGGCCCCTCATCCATCCAAAACGATAGTCCACTTTCACGAGGACTAAACTAAGTAATTCTGTGAGCAGCTCCATTAGCTTTACGAGCAACATACTGAACAATAGTTTGGGGTCTCTCATTTCAGTCAGGCGATGAATCTCATCCACCAAAACCCTTTTTGATGCAAGCACTCCTCATCAGTGTTAATCATTTGAACTGCTGTCGAAGAGTCAGATTCCACCACAAGAGGCACACAAGAAGCATCCAAAGCAAAGGAGATTCCAACCTTCAAAGCATATAGCTCATAGCAAGGATGGACCACGCTGTGGGCTCGCATAGCCATTGCAGGTTGTGGTGATAGTGTTCTTTATCACAATGTCTATTGATTCTGCAAAGAGTCCGAAGGACCTTAGATTTTTAAATCGTGAATATAAATAGAGTGACAAAACTATTTCATCAATCTAATTTAATAAAGAAGGCTTGAAAGACCGGTTTGGTTCCAAATTCCAAAAATATTACCTTGCAATATTTACTTACCCATCAAAATCCTATCCATTGTAGTAGCGGTCTTACCAGACACAATTAGAGAGAAACAGGGGTGGAAAGACTAAAAAGAGCTCCAAAATCAAGTATGCAACTTAGAAACAAAAACTACATTGGCGTGCCTCGAGCGGCTTTGCAACATCATGAAATCCTGCCCTCAGGACTGGAAAATGTCGCTGGAGCACCTATGCATCCGCTCATTGGCTTTTCTGCACAACTTTCCCTTGCACTTTTCTTGATTGAGCAAACTAACTTCTTTGCTTTTTAGCAACTTCAATTCTTTGTTTGAGCAAGGTGATCAAATCAACTCCACATGCACCTCTTAATTGAGATGCAACGATCCTAGCACAATTCACAAATCTGCTGTATTTATTGATAACAATTATCATAGTTACTAATTTAAAGAAAAATAAGTAAATCTGAAGATGGTAGCAAGCAACTAGAAACTTAAATAAAATTAAAGAATTGCAAGGAAGGTGTTCAAAATTACCATTTTAGCCCAAGAGGTGGATCAGATAGGCAGGCAGGCAGAGCCCATCATCAATCCTCCTCCAACATTCCAACTCCGTCTTTTTTCACAAACTTGCCCTGAATTTTGATGTTTTGGACTTGAGACGCATTTTTCAACCACTCCATTCCACATCTCGTCTCGAACCATTGTGCAAGAATCGGACAATCCTCTCCGACGATGATTAATTCTCGCAGCGGGGTCTTCCAAAGGAAGTTTGGCAGTGCTTTCAGCCTCTCGCAGTAACCGATTTCTAACTTCAAAAGAGATGGCATTATTGTAATTTTAGAATCCTCTTCTTCTACTCCTTCCCATTCTTCCCACTCTTCCATGAAATGAAATCTGAGTTCTTTCAATTTGGGAAACGAGTTTATTAATGTTTGCGGTGTTTCGCCTGTTATTCCCAAAAATTCAACTCCCACCTTTTTCACACTCTCCATCCTATTTATCTCTAAATATTCAAGGGACGGGAGTTTCCCCAGAGGAGCCAAAACCCCACAAAATGGAACATCATAGAATTCAAGCCTTCTCAGATTATGACAGCTCATCA